GTATGTTGGCATTTGTTAATGCGTATAATTAATGCTGCTCTTTATTTTTTCAGAGACCTGTGTGGTATTTTCTAATCGGGGATTTTCAAAAGTGCATTGTGATGATTCAAATTAAGAACCTGTGTTTCGCCGCGTGTTTTGCCTGCCTAGTCTATGATGCAGGTATGGAAAACTGTTTGGTGAGCTTCACCGACATGGTTAAAGCACGTCCACGTTGATGGATACTTTGTTTTGTAAAATCATGCTACTGCACTATACAGTATTAAGAATCTTGCATTATCTAAGTCTTTTTTTTTTCCATGAATGTCTGGAGAGACAGCCTGAAAAAAAGTAAGCAAGAGTGTGTAAATGCTTCAACATTGAAATAATATTTTCTACCATCATCTTTCAGTCCCACAATCCCTCAATTTTTCGCCTTCAGCTTCCTGGATAATAGGGCATGGTTTACTTTTGTTCTATGATGAGTGATGTGCTGGAACACTAGGAACGCGCTAGTGTTGCTGAATGTGAGGGTTTAGTCTGGATCCTGCGGAAACATCCCCAAATTGAAAAGAAAAAATTATCCTGTGATATTGATTGAATTCCTTTCTGATGAAAGCTTTTTCCACTGTGCAACAATTTGAAAATTTTCACGTGAATTAATTCTGCTGTTGTTTTCAGGAGGTTTTTTTTCCCTTGATTCTGGTGGTTTGATTCAGTTTTAAAGGTTTCTTTTGCTCCATTCAGCCAGGATCATTCTTGCGTCTGAAGAAAAGGTACAGTGCAGTATCAATCTCGGAATCATTGATGTACTGTATTTTTCAAAATTTCAATTGAATTCATGGATATGCAGGTATGGAGAACTGTGTGCTGCCGGTCATTGTTAAGATAGAATCTGCAGAAGGAGGATGTGTACAAGATGGATTGGACATCAAAGACTTTTTTTCCGTGGATGTCAAACACGAGCAACATCTTCAAACTTGCAGAGGAGGTTTGTTGTTTATGCATTACTGAAGTATATTTGTATCACAGTATTCCTGTGTACAACATTTTTCTGAAGTGAATGCATATCTGTCTGGGTCAAAGACTATATTTCTCCCATCTGACCCATCAGTTGACATATGAATTC